ATACCCCACAATCACAATTTCGCAAATCGGTAGGAAATCGAGTAATATAACGGTAAGATGATGTATAGACGGGGAGGAGCGGATGCTGACATTGGACACAGGTGCATCACATTCCATCATTAAGGCGGGGTTGGTTAAGAAGGAGGTTAAGCCACTTGTAGGTGCAAAGCTGCGCACCGCAACTGGTGAAGAAGCACTATTAATAGGTGAGTTAACTTGTTATGTAACTATTGGGAATGTGATAGTTACGCATGTTTTCATTGTGGCGGATATTGCTGATGAAGTTATAATTGGAGTAGATTTCTTAACTGACCATGGCATAAATGTCGATTTAAGAAGTATGACAATGACATATAACAACATGGAAGTGAGGCTAAATTCTGGTTACGATGAGTCGCACAGAGTTCGAGAAGCACTTTTGGTGGATAGTCAACAAATTCCACCAATGTCTGAAGCAGTTATTTGGGCAAAAATTAATGCAGATTGGAGGGAAAACCAGTTGTGGTTAATCGAAGCGGCAGAAAATTCGACACCGGACGTGTTGATTGCAAAAACTCTAGCAAAATCGAATCCAGATGGACGTATTCCAGTAAGAGTCCTTAATGAATTTGAATTCCCGATAAAACTTTTTAAAGGCGCTCTGTTGGCGGAATGCCATGAAGTAGAGGCTATAATTAATTGCGAGGCGGTTCCTGAAAATCAACGTGTTGATGTAAGCAAAATGCATAAGGAGCTAGACGATTGGACAAAAGCGTTGGAGCCGCTGGAAGCTGAAAAAGCAAAACAATTGCTACGCAAATATTGTGGTATATTTGATAAGAATGGATCCAAACCAGGCAGAACCAACATCGTAAAGCATCGGATTTATACAGGTGATGCAAGGCCAATTCGACAGCCTCCGCGAAGCTTACCATTGGCCAAACATGAAGTTGTTAGCCAAATAATTCATGATATGAGTGATAGCGGTGTGATTGAACCTTCAGTTAGTCCATGGTGCTCACCGGTAGTACTCGTCAAAAATAAGGACAAAAAGATGCGCTTCTGCGTTGATTATCGTAAACTTAACGATGTAACCAAGAAGGACAGTTATCCTTTGCCGAGAATCGATGATACTCTGGATTCACTAACTGGAACGGAATGATTTTCAAGCCTTGATTTAAAAAGTGGCAACTGGCAAGTGAAGGTTCACGAATCGGATAGGCAAAAAACAGAATTCAGCGTTGGGAAAGGTTTATGGCAATTTTCGGTAATGCCTTTTGGATTATGTAATGCTTGGTTTACCTCGATGATATAATCGTACTTGGGAAAAGCTTTGACGATCATTTGAAAGATTTGGAAGAAGTCTTCCAAATAATAGCTTGTGCTGGCTTAAAGTTAAATTCAGAGAAGTGTTCGTTATTCAAGAAAGAAGTTAAGTATTTGAGACATAAGGTAACGACAGAAGGGGTATCGGTGACAGGTAATAAGATCAACGGAAATAAGGTCAATTGACTTTATTTCGCACCTTACCTTTTTAAAAACGAAATTAAATCAATTGACATTATTTCTCTTTCAAACAATTTATAAAGGCTATTCAACTGGTTTATCTTATTTTATTATTGCACTTTGGTTTTGAAAATGTAGCTTTATTTTATTGCTTAATGTGAATGATTAAAAGGAATTACACCTTTTTCGGCACATTTATTTTTCTATTTGGCACATTTTGGCACTTTTTTATCCTCAATATGGCACCTGATAACTAAGCAGAGTTGGCAGCCCTGATTGGAAGATTTCTGCTGTGTTTTGAGGCAACAACTTGTCTGCAGTAAAAAAGCGTATAACTTGTGTTTCAAAAGTGTGTGAAAACCAAACAATTAACTTATATGATCTCGGTTCCGGTATTAAATAATCAATAATTGTTTATACCCGCATTTTGGCACATTGGCTCGTTGAATGTGCCATCTAATAAATAGCGTCGTCGTTCTCCTTAGCTGCTTTTAAATGACTGCTGGCGGAGACTTAAATACAGTGTAAGAAAATTCTTTTTCTATAACTGTTTCCTTATAGAAAGGTTGGGTTCTTTTCCACCTTAGACATTCCGAATTCGGTCAAAATATGCTAATTTAAAACACAGAATTCTTTCAGTGCTCCTCCGGGGTTTTTGAACATGTACTGTTTCTTCAATTTAATAGTGTTCGCTTTATTTTTGTAGAAACGAAAAGTGTTTTGCAAGTTATGGATCTTTCTTCAAACATTTCTTGTATTCCAGCTGTGCGCAGGCGTTTAGTTTTTCGCATCGTGTTTTTACATATTCGTTATTTAAATTCTTTTTTTAATAGAATCAATTGGTGGTAGTTCATGATTGTGTGTGGATTAATATCACAACACTGAGGATTTGGCAAAAGCCTTTTTCATCTATTAAAAAACAACACTTACGGGGCAATGTTTATTGTAAGAACAACATTTTTTTCTATGAATCGACATACCTTAAGCATTGTTGAAGCTATTTTCATTTGAATGAAGAAATAGCGTCAATGACTTTATTTCCAAGTTTTTGTTGACTTTATTTCGCTTTTGAAAAGGTATTTCCATTGACCTTATTACCTGTCACCGGGGTATCCACTGATAATGACAAAATAAACGTGGTGAAGGAATGGCCGTGGCCATCGAATTTGCATGAACTGCGAAGTTTTCTTGGATTATGCACGTATTATCGCCGGTTTGTTCCAAACTTTGCCAATCTAGCTAGTAGTCTTCACGATCTCACTCAAAAAAATCGACACTTCAAGTGGGGAGAAGAGCAGGAAGTAGCCTTTCAGGCTCTGAAGGAACGATTGTGGACTGCACCAATGTTGGCATACCCCATTCCAGGATCAACGTTTTTATTAGATGCTGATGCAAGTGGTTATGGTATTGGAGGGGTTCTTTCGCAAGTAATAAATGGACAAGAAAGAGTTGTTGCATATTACAGCAGAACAATAGGAAAATTCGAGAGAAATTACTGTGTGACACGAAGAGAATTACTTGCTTTAGTGGAATGCATTAAGCATTTCCACAAGTATCTTTATGGACAGCGTTTTCATGTACGGACCGATCATGCAGCACTGAAATGGCTACTCCAGTTTAAGAATCCTGAAGGACAATTGGCTAGATGGCTTGAGAGATTACAAAACTACGATTTTTCAATAGAACATCGTGCAGGTAGCTCACATGGTAATGCAGATGCAATGTCTCGTCGACCATGTAACATAGAATGTAAACATTGTTCGAAAGCTGAAGTTAAGGAAGAAGTTGTTGATGTACGATTAATGACCATTACACCATCTGAAAAATGGGATGCACAGAATTTACGTAAATCTCAACAAAAAGACACAGACTTGGCTTTGTTAATAAATTACATGGACATGAATAATCGGCCGACAAAAGAACAGATGTTATCAGAGAGTTGCATTGCCAAATCATATTGGGCCCAGTGGAACAGTTTAAGAATGATATCTGGCTGCCTTCATCGGAAAGCGAAGCCGGGAAATGCTCTCGAGCTTTGATTGTTGTTCCGAAAGTACGAATACCAGACGTTCTGAATGATTTGCATAATGGGCCAAGTGGAGGGCACATCCCAACTAACAATTTTCGTCTTATAAGACTCTACAAGCATCTTATGAGAGGATACGCAATTGGTATAGGAGAATAGTACCCTTATAATTTCACCCTGGTAGAGTACTACGAGTGCTTTATGAATACGTTGTCAGAATTAAATGGCACACTTATGAGAGTTATTTTTGTCTTATAAAAATACGATAGTTCTCTTTGTAAGAGATACGTAAGTTTCATAAAAAACTATTTGAATTTTTGTGAGTATATATGCACTCTCATAATGGTATCATAATAAATAGCATAACTTTGGTGGTTTTATTTTTAGAGTAAAGGTAATTTCATAAGAATTAATTCATAGCAAATCGATAAGTTACATTTTCGATGGCAGAATTTAAAGTAGACTAGAATTTCATATAAGTATTATAGATTTTAGAAGTCAATTTACAAAATTATAAGCTAAGATTCTATGGGGATTGAAATTTGATCGATAATAATGAACATTTTACTTCGAAAGAAAGTAAAGCGCCTCAAAAATAATCAAAATTTTTATTATTTTGTAAATTGTTATTTAATAAAAAAAAATTTAATGCTTTAGTCCTGCTCAATATTTTGATTCAACTTCATGTATCAGCACTTATTATCTAAAAAGCGTTATTTTTAATATTTTTTCATACTAAACTGCTTAAGTTAGCTACATTTTTGGAATTTTGTTTTACTATAAAACCTTCAGAATAAGGAAAATATGACCGCTGATGACAAATTTTTCTTATGAGGATCAAATTCTAGTTATGAGAAGGTTAAGTTTCGTTACAAGAGTTGTACACGTTTTTCTTACCGATATGAGAGTATTATTCTTTTTATGAGAACAAAAGTCTTTTTATGAAGCTTTAATTTTTTTCATGAGTGTTAAACTCTTTATAACTCCCCTTATGAGTACTAAGGATTTCATATGAGACATTTAACTCTTATTACGAAATTATAAATCTCACAATGAAAATGGAGCCTTTTTATGAGTGTTTCATACTCCATTTGACATTTGTCTTTCAGTAGTGTGCGCGTATATCGAAAGAGCTAGCATGCAAATAATATTGTTTGTATTAATTAAGAATTAATACTTTGTAGTAAGGTAATGATATATGTAGATGTTATTCCGAAGTTTTGCAGTGAATTAACTATATAGTTTTTTCAGAATGTCATTTAAAATTGTGCAAACTATTGAACATGGGGAAATATGCCTTACCACTGTGCCTTACAATTGGGAGAATGTGGGAATTCTATATTGGCCAAATACTAAAAAAGTCTCCTCAATTCAAAAATTACTTAGAGATGCGAATTCAAAGCCAGAGGCAAATTGGACTACCCAGCCTTGCACCAAAAAAAGGGAGAATTTTAGAAGCTTTGAAGCTGCTGAAGAGGAAATAAGGAGAATGGAAGATTACAGTGACACTGACGGATGGAACGAGGATACCTTAAAATCCCCACAACGCATAAAAAGAAATGTATGTTCCAAAGCCGCTAGTAATGGTGTTGACCATGATTTTAATGACATGCTTACCTATGCTCAGGTATATACTGATATTATTACGAAAAGAAAATATACATTAACAATTTTCCTCCTAGCAGGAAACGCTTGTAGAGCCACCATTACAACAACCACAACCCCATACTTTCACTGCTTTCACTTTACCATCATCACCGGGCTACCAATATCAGCAATCGCAGATATCATCATCGTACCAGCAACCAATACTACAAGTACGCTTTTTTGAAGGTATAATATATTGTTGTTAATAAATGATTTTGTTATATAGCAATTATAAATTCCGTTTCTTACAGCAGATACAATCCCCTGAGGAAGTCGAGGAAGTTGATATTGGCAGTTTACTAAAGAATATAAGTGAAAGTCTGATTCAAATCCAACAAAATCAGAATGTCATTATACGAGCGCTTGCGAAACAAAGTGCCTTCAAAGATATTATTATTAATCGCATTAACGATATAGAAAATCTATTTAATAACAATAAAAATTCTACCGTTGATACCGTTGAGGATAACACCAGTGCAAGTTCTGCTGGCCTATTAGATGCTCCAATTTCGAATCAGGATGAAATCGACGAATTGGAAGATAAGCTCAACGACAGCAAAAAAATGGAGGATTTAGTATGTGTAAATGTGCTTCGTACATACTACATAGTTTATCTCAAACTTTTTTATTTACAGGCTGCGAAAATGAAATCTATTTGTGGGGAAAAAGGAACAGCCGACGCAACTGACTGTTGCTATCGTTTAGTAGACCACTTCTTCACGAGAGAATTCCTGTTGAATGTTTCGTGGAGTGGAGGGAGCCGTACGGAAAATAAAAAAGTTGCTCTTAAAAATTATAGCAACATTCTTAGTGTTGGAGCAAGTTGTTCGCAAGGAGTTTTTCGCAACAGTCCTTAAGAATGCCAAGAAAAGGACTGAAAATAATATCGACCGTATTCCTCGAACTTCTGCAAAGAAAGTATATGTGCGTAAAGGAAACTAAACAAGGAAAAGTGAAAATGTTCCTAAGGGCATGATGTTCCACTAAAAGCTTACTAATTCTTACTCAGAAGCTTATTACACAAAAAGTATTAAAAGTTGCAAGAGAACAAATGTTTATTAATTGATGAAAAAGTTGATGTTTATTTACTTAAAGAAATTACTTTATTCTTTTTTATTTAATTTAATTATTTAAATGAACTGTTAAAGTAAGTACTTTGTTTATTTAGATTTAAATACAGAGTTTATATTATAATTAAAAAAAGACTGATGTGAATCCATATTGTAGTGCCTCAAATATTAAAAGTATAATTGACAAAAATTAATAAATATAAATAATAAATTCTTACTCAATAGCCGAGGAAGCTTATTACATGATAAAAACATAGTAAGGTAAAACCGTTCTCTCAATTCGTCGGCCATGATTCTTTTTGAAGTTTGCCAACATTTTAAAATCATATAAGATTGAGAGTAAAAAAAAAAGGAATTGTTCAAAGTTGTTGTTTGAGATTGAAAGTGAGAATGGGAGTGTGAGTTTGTGTGTAAATTTTTAAAATTAAATTGCTTGCAAACGTCAAGAATTTCAAAACTTCCTCTCAGCGGTTCTACCTTCCTATATTTTTATCATGGCTTATTACACAAAAAGTATTAAAAGTTGCAAGAAAACAAATGTTTATTAATTGATGAAAAAGTTGATGTTTATTTACTTAAAGAAATTACTTTATTTCTTATTTATTTAATTTAATTATTGAAATGAACTGTTAAAGTGAGTATTTTGTTTACTTAGTTTTAAATACAGAGTTTATATTATAATTAAAAAAAGACTTTTTATTTAGCAGTGTGAAGTAACGGAATGAAAACTATTGAATTGTCGTCATATTTCACAGATACCAGTTTACATTTAATATCTTTTAAGCTATATATCCGTGCTGATTTTTCTTTGCAATCTGAGGAATATATATTGAGGAATGAAGAACGTATCGGCGTCTCAAAAAACTTTCCTGATGTTGTAGACAGGCGCCAAAATAGATATCTCTTTATTAGCTAATGTAGCATTCTTAATGCACACGATCTTATTTCCAGTTGTAAGAAACCATTTGTCCCGATTTTGGGGGCTTAGTAAAAAACCATTCGGATGCTGAACCGTATTATTTTTTAAAATCGGTAATTCGTTATTAACCTATCCACTAGCCTTTATTTGCAAATGACTAAAGTCAGTTAGTCGTCTGGCTACCTGCGCCAAAGCCTTGTTTCCATTCCGTAACATATTCTTTATCTGGTACAATTTGCTTTCAAACGGGTAAGCACTAAATGTTGATAAAATACCAAGTCTTTTTACATCATCAATAATATGCGACAGGTTATGCACATTACTAGTTATATGCTCTTCACCATAAATATCTCTGTAGTATTCAAGTGTAGGAACAAGTGTAGGAACAAAGTATGAGCTAAATCAAGATATGTATCCAGTTGAGGAGCACATTGTGACAGCACAAAAAAATACAAGGAAATGCTGGTACACATCGTGTGGTAAACGATCCTTCAGTATTACAACTCCTATATAATATAAGAATGTACGATACTCCAAAGCTTTCCAATGTGCCAGGCAATCTAATCCCCTTACAGCTCGATGAAGTTCTGAGGCCATTTTGATATTTGTAACCATTGTGAAATGCCGTAGCTTTCTCTTGCACTCCATTTTGCCCGAAAGTTGTTAAACTGGCCATCTCTCCATCCAATCAAGAACTTTCTCATTGTTTAGGCCTTCAGCCTAAATATTTCAAAAAGCTCCACCCTAATGCCATTTTCTCTAACTCACTCAAATACGTATTTGTGTACGCATGCGTGTGTATATAACTATACATGCGCACGTATGTATACACATACGTATTAACGCGAAGACTTGGGCCGTTAGCAAGTCCTTCTCGCCGGACAACGAACTTTCGTTAACTTTCCCCTTCTATATCGGTGTTTGTCCGGCGGTCCGCAACTAACGCGATTTAATTTAATCCTTCACTTCTCTTTTGAATCATCAAGGAAGAACACCGGAGCTACCAGCCTCATCGATATTTCCCGCATTAAGGTAATAAACTCAATTGTATACAAAGAAATCTTGACAAATATATATGACTATTGATTTGAATTAATACTAAATCACTGTCTGTATCATTTTATTTCTTTTTGCAAATAATACGAAACCCCTGTGCGTCTGAGCGCTAAAGTCGAGGAAGCACATGCGTTTTGACATGGTCCCATCGAAGCCGAGCAATAAATGACCAACGACCTGCATATATATATATTACAGTCCACAACCACAGCGTACACAGGGAATCATTGTCCAGCACCCACTTTTTGCCACAACGTTTTTTGCGCCAACGATCGGTCAAGCCACAGAGATCTAGTGACAACACAACCACACTCAGCTTTCTTGCCACGACACCAGCTTAATTTGCCAGGACACCAGCGAGCGTACAACACTACAACCACCAATCACTTCTAATTCAAGGTACGTGGTTATAATTTCAATTGCACTTGATAGAAAATTGCCAAAAAAAAAACGTTTTTAAATTCAATGCGCGTGTGCAAACTAGAATCTCGCGAGTGTTTAAACTGAAAATATACAATTGGAGCATTTAATTTTAAAGCCACACTATTAATAATTGAGGTTAGTCTGTCCGTCCGCAAGTGACAACAGCGACCACAATTAGGTGTTCTTTGCAACATAAACATACACACAGTGTCACACAGTACTCGTTGGTTTGCTGCACATTTTTTAAAGTCTCGGTTCAAAATTACGTCCGCGCACGGCAACCAAAAATAAGTGCACCTTGCAACCACTCGTATATACACACTCACGTCAGTGATCCGCATCACTTAATATTGTTAATGAAGTATTTCGATTTTGTTTAAATTGACAGTCCATAATCATAACCTTCATTTTTCTGATCGTTTTTTCACTGCGCCTCTTAGTTGGCTTACATTCTTTTGTATATTTGCGAACACTGTCACTGTTTCGAGGATACATAACCTCTAAATTTTGTTATTTGCATTGGACCAATTGTAGATTTTCACTAAATCACTACGCATAAGCGATTCAACTCCGTATAATATTGCACATTTTTTACCATATATATTTGCTACGTACGTTGCACTCATCGAAGTGGTCACTCTGTTTATTAAAATTTGCTGCGTACGTTGCACACATCACGATTTTACCACGTATATTATTTACACCTTATTGCGTACCTTGCATAGCTTATCAAAGCGCGTAGATATTAGTCAGCACAGTTGGGTGGCGAGTCGTTAGTAAACAATAATTCTAGAAGAAAAAGGTTTACATTTTAATAAAGTGTCGAATATATTTCGCAATACAAACTATTTTGCATCTTTTTAATTCGTTGGATTTCTGGTATACATTTAAGTGGGTAAAAAATTGGCAACTTCTCTTGCGCATACAACCTCTAATCTTCGATAAGATTAAGTGTGTAAAATCCTATAGATTCTATCTGGGCATTTCAGTTAATACTTCGGTCAGGGTAAACACGTTAAACAATGGATTCGTATATTCTTTTGGCAGAAGCTGTAACAGAGTTCGAATCTGATTACAACAACATACCCGCCGCAGAACAAAACAAACATGGTCTTGCTATTCAACAAGACGAGTTAAAAGCTTTGTGGGGAAAAACCAAGTCAGCTTACGATAAGCTTATCAATGAGGGATTATCTAAGGATGATGCTAAGGCCATAAAAAAGAAGAATAAGATTTCCTTTCAAAGCTATGTTAAGTGCATGTCTGCTATTGGTACTCAGGTTGAAATACTAACCAAAGCGACCAAAGATGTAGAGGATCGGTCCGTCCGAGAACACAATATCCACCTGCCACCGTGCGATACAGATGTGTTCAAGGGCGACTATCTCTCATGGCCAACGTTCCGAGATATGTTCACGGCCATCTACATCCTGAACAAGCGCCTCACCCCAGTTGAGAAACTAGTTCACCTCAACAATAAAACACAAGGGGAGGCAAAATAACATAGTGCGAAAGTGCCCACTTACCCATGAAGGCTTTTCGACAGCCTGGAAAAACCTGTGTGAGCGATACGAAAACAAACGTATCTTAGTTAACACACAATTAAAAGTTTTATTTAGCTTAAATACAGTAGAATCTGAGTGTGGTAGCTCAATTAAAAACCTACAGCGCGAGATTAATAATTGTTTATCGTCCCTAAAAAGTCATCAAATTGTGTTCAACGAAGCTTCCAGAAAGTACACTGGCTCTATGGGAACAGACCATAGACCAGAAAACTGACATTCCAAAGTGGGAGGATATGGACAGGTTCCTATCCAACAGATTCCAAACTTTGGAAACTCTAGCGGGACTAACGGGTACCACAGCGGCGAAAGCTCCAAAGCACCAGCCCGCACGGCACCACCAGGAAGCTAACACAAAAAGGCTAGGAGCCTTTCAGGCAAGCGTGACCAAGTTCACCTGCCAAATGTGCCAAACTAATGAGCACAAGTTACGTAACTGTCCACAATTCCTCAACAAAACACCTGCTGATAGAATCGATTTTTTGAAAAGCAAAAAATGGTGCCTGAACTGTCTTAGTACTGGACATACCGTGTCAAGATGCACAAACCCATTTAATTGTATCAAGTGTCACTCGCGACACAACACGCTCCTTCATATTGAGACAGCTCAAACAAAGGCAACGACACTTGGGACCTCTTCAGATTCTGCGACTAATTCTGCATCAACATCCAATCAGGCCCAAGCCAAACGCAATTCAACAAAATCAAACAAGCATACAAGCAAAAACGTGAAGTCTTGCTATGCGAATACAAACACAGGTGTGTTATTAGGGACAGCACGCGTCAACATATATCTCAATGGTACGAACTATTCCGCTAGAGCACTTATTGATTCTGGTTCAGAGTGTTCTTTCATTACTGAAAGACTAAAACGCAGAATTCACTTGCCGTCAATGCGTATGCATGCCCAAGTTTCGGGCATCACTAATACAACTACGGCGCAGGTTAAAGAAGCGTGCAACATCGAATTGCGGTCTCCTGTTGACCCGTTGTTCCGCTTAAATACCTCTGTGCTCGTGCTAGCACAACTGACTGGAAATCTTCCTACTTGCCACATGAGTGCAGTGACTAAGCAAGCATTTCCAGATCTAATTCTAGCGGATAAACGATTTTTAGTCAATGAACCCGTAGACCTTGTTCTGGGTGGCGACATATATCCACAAATTATTCTGAGCGGGCTTAAGAAAAACATATTAAACACACTTCTGGCCCAAGAAACAGTATTTGGCTGGATAATAACAGGGCGAACTGATACCTCGAATCCAGGAACGAATATCGTCTCATACTACAGCGAAGTTAGTCTGGACAAGCAACTGAGTGCCTTTTGGGAGCTTGAGGAGATTCCAAAGAACAAGAGCCTTAATGAAGACGACAAGTACTGCGAGGAGCTGTATCAGAAAACAACCATACGAAATAATGAAGGAAAATACATCGTGTCACTACCATTTAGGAAAGATTTTCCAGGAAATATTTCCCTAGGCCCATCCCTTAAAAGAGCATGTTCTCAATTTTACCGGAATGAGACACGGCTGGCCAAGGATCCCGTCCTGCAAAAGGAATACAATAGGGTTCTAGCGGAATATGAAACGCTTGGGCATATGTCGAAAATAACAAATCCCATACCCGCAGACTCGTCTGATAATTATTTTCTGCCGCACCACGCTGTTATAAAGGCAGAAAGTACTTCAACGAAAGTACGCGTGGTGTTCAATGCCTCAAGCCCAACGGCGAATGGCAACAGCCTAAATGTCGTACTTTTCCCAGGACCAGTACTTCAGGCAGATCTTCCGATATTAATACTCCGTTGGAGACTATACAAATATGTGTTCAACAGTGACATCGAGAAGATGTATAGGCAAATTATGGTACATAACAACCATACTAAGTATCAGAGGATTATTTTTCGCACTAACCCGAATGACCCGATCAGTCTGTACGAATTAAAGACTGTCACGTTCGGCATCAATTGTGCTCCTTATCTGGCTATAAGGACACTTTTACAATTAGCTGACGATGTGCAAAGCTCCCATCCAATAGCATCTAACATACTACGAAAATGCATGTATGTCGACGATGTATTGTCTGGTGGACACACTATCGATTCAGCAATAAAAGCCAGAGATGAGATATCGGAAGTGTTGCAATCAGCCGGTTTTCCACTTCGAAAGTGGACAGCCAATAGCGAGCAAATACTTAATGGCATACCAAAAACAGATCTACTTAGCGAAGATTTTTTGGCATTTGAAGATACCAGCGCAGTCAAGGCTCTTGGAATAAGATGGAATGCCCATACGGATCTTTTCTATTTTATAGCAAGGCCATTGGAGAAAAGCGATGCTGTTACGAAAAGAGCGATACTATCTGCCATTGCTAAACTCTTCGATCCGCTCGGGTGGCTTGCGCCTATCATAATCGTAGCCAAAATCCTTATGCAAAATATTTGGCTGGAAGGCACAGATTGGGATGAGACTGTGTCTTCGACCACTCTAGACCGATGGCAGAATTTTACCCAACATTATAACGAAATTGATAAGGTTCGTATACCGCGATGGGTATACTTTTCTCCAACGGATGAAATACAAATACACGGATTCTGTGACGCGTCGGAGAAAGCATATGCCGCCTCTGTGTATATGCGTGTCAAAAGAGATAGCAAAGTTTTTATTAACCTGCTTTTGGCAAAAACCAGAGTTGCTCCTGTTAAAACCATATCGCTACCCCGACTGGAACTTTGCGGAGCGGTACTATTGGCGGAAATAGTTGATTCAATAATCAACAATCTCAACTTAGGGCATATCAACATACATCTGTGGACCGATTCCACAATTGTTCTCGCTTGGATTCGCAAGCCTCCGTGTTCATGGTCAACTTTCGTTGCCCATAGAATCACAAAAATTGTAGAGAAAGTCGGAAACAAGAATTGGCTGCATGTGGATTCGGCATCAAATCCAGCAGACTTAGCGAGCAGAGGACTTCCAGCATATGAATTGGTCAACAATTCGTTGTGGTGGCAGGGACCTTCTTGGTTACAAGAAGATAACCCAAAATGGCCCACCCAGGAAACAGACTACAGCATAGTAGTTGAGGAAAAAAGAACGCACATTTATACAACCAAAGTAAATTATACCGATATTCTTGACCGTTTTTCAGATTTTCCGAGAGCTTTGAGAGTATTATCATATGTTATGAGATTCTCTCAAAGAACGCATCGAAATACGAAAGCTTCATTTCAAGAAAAGTCACGCTTAATTTCATCCCATGAAATTAAAGCAACGACACAACGCTTGATAAAAATATATCAACAGAACTATTACAGTGAAGAATACAGGAAACTTAAAGCAGGAAGCTCCATCGACTCCAAGAGTGAACTCCTACCGCTTAATCCGTTCATAGATAAAGATGGCATTATTAGGGCTGGTGGGCGTCTTGGAGCGTCTCAAGACTTAGCGTATAACGAGCGGCATCCAATAATTATTCCTTATAACTGCAGGTTGTCCCGTCTAATAGTGTGCTTTATTCACCAAGTCTCTTTGCATGGGGAAAATCAACTCATGCTTCGCCTTATCCGAACTCAGTATTGGATCCCCAGAGTTAAAAATCTGATCAAATCCACAATCCATAATTGCAAAGTCTGTACGATATACAAAAAACGTACGCAAACCCAGCTTATGGGAATTCTCCCTCAGGAGAGAACCACATTTTCGCGCGCGTTTACGAATACAGGTGTAGATTTTTCAGGACCCTTTGACATCAAAAGTTATAGCGGCCGAGGTTGTCGAATGTCCAAAGGATACGTTTGCCTTTTTGTCTGTTTTACGACAAAAGCGATCCATTTGGAAGCAACTAGTGACCTCAGCACTCCATCATTTTTTAGCTGCATTCGCCAGGTTTGTAGCCAGAAGAGGATGCCCGAAGAACATATATTCCGACAATGGTACAAACTTCGTCGGAGCTTCACGATCTTTACGATCTGAATTTAAGGCATTTTTAGCAGATTCGCGTGAAAAAGCAGTTTCGAAATACAATTATCAAATGCTCACATGGCATTTCATACCCGCCGCTGCTCCTCATATGGGCGGCTTATGGGAGGCGGGGGTAAAAAGCTTTAAAAGCCACTTTAAAAAGATTGCATCCGTTCATAAATATACATTCGAAGAGTTCAGTACTCTTTTATGTCGGATTGAGGCGTGCCTCAACTCACGACCATTGAGCCCCGCTTCGAATGAACCTACCGACCTGGAGCCTCTCACTCCAGGTCACTTTCTTACCGGTGGACACCTGCTAGCCCCACCTGAAATCGACGTTCACGAGAATCCTGCCTCGATAGTAAATCGGTGGCAGAAGCTAAAGGCCCTTCACCAAACTTTTTGTAAACGATGGAAAACCGAATATTTATCCGAACTGCAAAAGCGGATTAAGTGGAAATATCCACAGCAAAATATAAAATTAGGAGATCTCGTTGTCATCAAAGAAGACAACCTCCCGTCAAATGAGTGGAGATTAGGTCGAATTATCAGCCTACATCCTGGTCCCGACGATCGAGTACGCGTAGTTGACATCATCACGGAAAAAGGGCAGATTACGAGACCGCTGGCCAAACTGGTCCTACTTCCATCCCAAAATCAAGAAACCGAGGAACCAGCAACCACTTCGTAAATAAACCCTCTCCGTTGATCCCCAATCCCGCGTGAATTCCACTTCCTCATCGCACAAAAATTCCACTTCTATGCATTCGGAAGGATTCCACGCCTATAATCAAGTTTAACCCATAATAATGTTTTAGTTAGATTTTGGTGATGGTTCTTAGCCCGGCCTCTCCGGGTAGATCTGGGTATAAAGAACCGACCATCGTTAGATCTTGTAAGCACCAAAGAACGTCGGTAGAATGGCGACCCTTTTCATCATAGAATCGGGTAAAAATAAGACAGACCAAGCTTGATGAACAATTGCTTCAGAAATACGAAATTGGTAACGAGGTGTGAATTATCAATTAAAATCCTCCAAAAAATATAATAATAATCGAAATAAGTTGAAAGTCGTTACAATTGTTCATTATGCTTGCTCGTTTTTCAACACAACTAGGTCTGATGGGAAGCGAATCCATTTTACTTGACAGGTTTCGATAATCGTCAGTCAACCCATTAGACCAAATGAGTTCGCCTCAATTGTCAAAACCTACCAGCAAAGACTATAGTTCAGAAAAAAAAAAAAAAAATATCTATACATACATATGCATATATTTTAAAATATGTGTATTCAGTGGCATCCCAGCAAACGTTTGGAGTCATAAATGAGTCTTGAAGGAGTCCCATTTCGGAGCCTTTACGCTCATAATGCTCATTTAAGAGTCCGAAATGAGGGTGTTTCCCTTCCTGCGAAGGTCGACTTATATGAGCTTAAATTCATACATCAGATGAGCCTCAATATGAGTCATATTGGACTCTTATCGGCCTCATATACGGTTCATTTTGGACTCTTTTTGAGGCTCTTAAATGACTCTTATTGGCCTCTTAAATGCCTACTTTCGGAGTCTTATTTTATGCTGTTCTGTGAGTCTTATTGGCTTACTTACTTTAGAGCCATGTTTACAAGGGCATTCATTTCAAATACTGTTGCATATATACATACCTCTGTGCATACATATATATGTATATTGCAACATTCATGAATAGCAGCTGCTGCAGCTAAATTAATGTAAATTTTTTGCTTCCTAAATATTTATCCATTAAATTTAATAGGTATAGATTATAATAAAAATTATTTTTTAAGTATTCCAAAAATATATATGTGAGTTTGATTTGCAAAATGCTCAAGTATGTGCAAAAGTGCTACAGCAACAAAAACTAAAGCAAATTCGAGTATAAATTATAGCATTTTTTCTAGTTTTTAGGTGCGACTGTTATGGCATAAAAACCCAATTAACAATGAATTTAATTAATACAGGCTTTTACATGAAAATAAATAAAATTGTATCATATCTTTTACATTAAAATCTAAAAATCAAGTCAACAACTAACATCACAACGTTCTTCAAATGCATTAAAATCACAATTGCTTAAATATAAAGATATGTACCAACCACTAGAAGTTTATGTAACTCATAGTAAACAATGTCCGCTAAAACTCAATCATAGCATCAGTAAAATAAATGAGTGAAATGAAGTTTAATATAGGCAATATAGTCTTTTAGCACGCACCTGCAAATGAGCGCCAATGAATACATCTTCTACGAATTCTGTAACCTCTGCCGCATTACACCACATAGACAAACGTCCAAAAGAATATGTTGAAAGCAAGAAAAGCCAGCGGAAATAAGCAACGTACCTTCTTATCGATCCACATGGATATTTCTTGAGGAGTTAGTGTAGTCCAACCGTTATTTTGGCCTGCTTCTCCAGTTTCCATATTGATTAGATCACGCTTGCTATAAGGCATTGAATCGCAAGTATTTGTTGTAGTGCCGCTGAAACTCGTAATTTTCGATATGTTATCCAATGCTTCATTCCCATGTATGGTATGTATTGGTATATTATGTAGGGATAGATAATTATTAAATGCGGTTGGATCATTGGATGCTTGATTAGCATCAGGCGCAACACAGAATGAACGTGAACGACCTGTGGGACGACGTGAAGCGCGCGGCGATAATGTTGACTTAAGTATATGCTTGCTACTCATTTTCTTCACATCCACATTGCGTTTACGTCGCCAAATAGTGTTTACAAATGCAAATTCTATAAGACTGCCGAAAATGAAAAGTGTACAACCAAGAAACCACACTTCAGAGATTTTTAGAGCACATTTTCCGGCACCCAATGGCTTTGCGCGCTACAATCGCGCAAGTTCTGTGACATATGCTCCACGCGTACGAACCATGAGGGTACAGATTTGTATATCTAAGGTGTATCGGAGCGCCAGCAGTATGGATAACTATGTTTGACTTGACCAGCAGATACTAGCACACCCATTTCCTTGAGCTTCGCTATTATCGCCTTATCGGCATCTTTGACATAGAGACCAGCAAAGTCAGTTACCTCCGCCGTGAAACGTCCCACCTCATCTAATGGACAAATTGGCTTGCTGGATTTTTGTATGATGCCCGCATTAAGACAAATGCGATAATCATCCTCACCAAAGTAGGGCGCGTTGTGGACAATGCCGGTACCGGTCTCTGACGTGACATAATCATCGACAAGTACGCGAAAAGCTTTCGCTGCGGTTCCTTTTTCGAGGAAGTAAGGAAAGGGTGGTTTATATGGTGCATTGGCTAATTTGGTACCAGGAAATTTCTCTAAAATACTGAAATCATCTTCGTTTTTATAGACGGTATTTAAGCGTGATTCAGCCAGGATATAAATGCGTTGTGTTTTCTTATCCAGGGCCTTCACATAGATCAAATTCGGATTAACCGCACAAACATAATTCGATGGCAGTGTCCAGGGTGTTGTTGTCCATATGAGGAAATGTGTATTCTCCATATTCACCGCCTCGAACATATGCCTAAGCCCATGTAAAAATCTCTGAAAATCGAAAAAGATTAATAAGAACAAAAGCATGCAATTTCGCATGCATACTCACCCAACCGTTTCAGCAAACTTACGTAATGGCCGCGTGGTAGTAAATTTTAGCAGAGAACTTAGATAGATAGAGAAGGTGCAAATTTTTGGAACGTAAAATTGTTTGGCTGAAAAATAAATCCATGGAATATCACCACAGCGCGATTAACATTTCAACAAGAGTTAACAGAGAAAAATGTAAATTTGTGTTGTGATAATAGGGGTATTCTCGAAGTATTGCACGATGCACGTATTGCACGAAATGCAAAAATACTATCCCAAATTTCGAAGAGTACGAGAGCACCCCATTGCAAAGTGGTAGAATGCATGGGTAGCAAGCAGCGAAATTATGTATCAAATACAATAACAAGAGACAGCAGAAAAAAATGAAGTGAGCGAGATGAGAGGAATGAGAGAAATATGTAGCAATTCCAACAACAAAACAACTAGCACAGGGTCGCATATATCTTGCTATGCTATTTTGCAAAATATATACATGGGTTTCGACGTTGCATATTTTGCAGCGATAGGAAATGTCGTTTCCCATGTATTTTTTGTTGTGTGTTTGCAAGTTATGCAATCCATGCAATCCGTGCAATCCGTGCTACGTGCAATGGCTTTGCAAGATTTGGAGAATACCCCTAATGTTATATTTGTTGCAAGCGTCTGGCTATGTGTTGCTAGGTTGCATATGAATGCAGAAACGTATTCATGTAGGTAGACGCACTAGTATCCGGACAGTGTTAGTGTCCGGACACTCTGTCCTTTTTTTTTAATTAATAGATACATCACTCATAAATAGTCTCAAATAATTACAAAAATTCTATCCTATATGTGTCTTACATCTCCATGCAAAGTTCCAAATAAATAAAACGCATATTTTAAGAGTTACGCGTCAGTTCAGTGTCTGAGGTCAGAGAGTGCGGTTGTGTTGTCGTTTTGTGTAAAAAAAAAATAGTGGGACCATTTTAAAGAAGTAAGTATTTGAACAAGTATTTATAAACTTACTATAATGGAAAGTAATTACATTTATTTGAAATATAGTAAAATTAAGTTATATAAGAAAAAAATTAAATTAATTCAATTCTTTGCCTAAATTTTTAGTGTCCGGACACTGAAACCAAAATTGAAGATAATTTTCAGTTTCCAGACAGGCTGTCCGGCTACTGAAAATATGAGAGAAATTACGAATTCTCTTTGTAATGTTCTTAAATGATAGTTTGGCATATCTTCTAAGATATACAGAAAGAGAAATGCGTTTTTCTCACAAGTTTTCAGTATTCGGTCAGGGTTAACTAAGTACGAATATGACTGTCCGGATACTAAAAAGATAAGGTTCAATGTCCGGACAACTGTATTTTGTATGAAATTTGTGATTTTTATCCATATTACGTTCTTTCTTTGTTATTATTTTTAAGGAATGAATTCAGACAAAATAGCTCAGGCCTTAGAGGATATAAGGTCAAACCATATCAGCATCAGGCAAGCGGCAAATAAATATGGTTTATGCCGGTCAACTTTGCATGACCGATTGAAAGGCAAAAGATTAATCGGTGAAAATGCGACAAGGATGGGACCAGCTCCTTATTTAACAACTGAAGAGGAACAACAGATTGCTCAATGGTGTATCGATTTATGTAAATGTGGTTTTCCGCTAAAAAATGATGATTTATTGAATACTGTTCAAAAAATTATAAATGACACGAACAGAAATACGCCATTTAAAAATAATCGGCCAGGGAGAACATGGATGCAAGCTTTCATTAAGCGGAATCCATCTTTAGCAATGAGGGAAGCGGAAACAATAAGTAAGGGTAGGGCAGTAGTGATGCAGGAGACAATTTTGAAATGGTTTAAAGAACTTGAAGAATACTTAAAAACTATTGGACAGGAAAACATAATGAATGATGCTTCAAGGATCTTAAATAGTGACGAAACTAGCTTTTGCCTCTGCCCAAAAACTGGGAAAGTTATAGCTCCAAAGGGCTATAAAAATATTTACCAAATTGCAGCCGGAAATGAAAAGGAGACTTTAACGGTGCTTATAGTTTTTTCAGCCGATGGAAAACTGTTCGAACCGATGGTTGTTTTTCCATACCTGCGTCCACCAAAAGAAATCGTCGACAGTATGCCAAAATCCTGGTTTTTGGGACGGAGTGAGAGTGGTTGGATGAAAAGCGAAACATTTTTTGAGTACGTCGCCAATTGTGTGCACAATCGATTGCTTGCTGATGGAGTTGAACGGCCAGTTATTTTATTTGTCGATGGCCACAAATCACACTTAACCCTGGAACTAAGCGAGTTTTGTAACCGAAACCAAATAATTTTATATGCGTTGCCCCCGAACACCACGCACATCATGCAGCCGGCGGACGTCAGTGTGTTTAAGCCTTTAAAATCGGATTGGAAAACAACGGTACGTGAATGGCAGTCAACTAATTTGGGACAGCCACTTACTAAAAAAAAACTTCTGTCCCCTTTTAAATGATGCGATTGTTAAGAACAAGGATATGGTGGCAACTATACAAAATGGATTCCGAAAATGTGGTTTGTATCCATTGAACCCTGCAGCAGTCGACTATTCCAAATGCGTCAAGAACAACGCTGAGAACTTGCTCATTGCTCAAGCTCCTCTCTCATCCGAACCAGAACAAACCGCTGAACCTTCAAAATTTGAGATAGCTGCTGAAGTGATTAAATCATTGTCAGGGCAACTGCAAGATTGTGGTATTGATCCTGAAATCGTTTTAAAGGTTATTCAAACTGAAGCGTCAAAAACACCAATACTGGACATAACAGTGGACCCTGCTCTTGAAGGGATCACAGGGGGATTACGCGACTTAAGCACTGGAGTTTACGTTCTAAACAGGGATGGTACCTTATACAAAGAAACCGAAGAAGCATCTGGAACTAATGAGACCAACAGAATTGAATCCGCGATGGAGCTGAATTCATCGACAAACGTCGGGCAAGATCAAATTTCATTAGAACTACCAGAAATCGCTGCCATTGATAAGGAAAATCAGATGACCTTCAAAATCCTTCCCCAGCACCATCGGAAGCCAGCCAATCTCGATCCCAAAAAGAAAAAGAAAAACAAGACAAACTTGATGCCATAGCAAAAAGGAAAAGAGATAGATTATCAAAACAAGAAACCCGAAAACGTACACCACAACAAAAGAAAAACTTTAAAAAGAAGGAAAAGTGCCAAAATTGTTTTGATGAACTCCAGAGTGACGTAGAAGACGACAATTTAAAAAAC